GAGTTTCAACTACATTCTTGTGATAAAAACTATAGTTTAAGTATTTGTCTTTTTAAAGTATAAAGTTTATTACTTTAATTATCACTTACTGTGAACAATCCCTATGGGTTTGATATTCGGGGCTTAATCAAAAAGTCCTATATTACTTGATAAAGATACATATACTTGTGTATTATTCCAATATATCTTAAGTTAAAAAGTTAAATTTTTATTTTCTCCAAGATCAAGTTTTTGGTACTGTTGCAAAGTAAGGAAAGATAAGTGAAAAATATAATCAAATCCATTGTTATATTGTTGCATATAAATAGTCGGGATCAACCACCGGGTTGCAAATTAAAATATTCAGTTGTCGTGTGCACTCTCTTCCCAACGAGTCATCATGAATGTAAAACACATGTTGAAATCACACACTGCTAATATGTTCTACATAATAGCTACACTCCTACCGATATAGACTATCTTTTCTTTATTCCCTACAAGCATGTCGACATGCAAGCCATCAGTTTCTTTGATATAGTCCTTATTTAAAAAAAAACACAATTTAAGCTATTTATAAATTTTCTTTAATTTAATGAAGAATGAAAAGAGAGTGTGATCAATACCATGAAAAACGACATGCACCTCAGATTGCTAAGAATTTCCCGAGGTATTTGAGCAAAAGGTGGGTCTAGAGGTTTGACGATGTTTGTCGCCATATTAACCAAAGAGTTAACTACGACATAGAAAGACTTGCTGATCATCTCTATAGATTGTTGGAAACACTCAAAAGTTGTACGAATGGACTCATTGTGCTACAAAATGAAGAGCGTGATAGCTAGGTTTTCTTAGGATGTAAATCACTTAGATCCATGCAAACCATATTTTGATTACAATTCATCTAATAAATCACAGAAAATAGTTATTGACATTCGGAACATTATGCAAATCTGGCTTAAATGAGCTTCCATTTGTTCATTAACACATTGGTCACCCATAAATGACGATGAAACACAAGATGTCTTATAAATGTTTCTCCATTGGTACTCATGAATCAGTCAAACTGTGCTAGTAATGACTATCGCTTGCTCAACTATTTATGCAATCTCCTCATTTGATGGCTCCATTAGTATGAAAGAGTAATGTTATGTTTATTTCAAAAGAAAATGTTATTATTAATGCAGGTAAATCCTTAATTTGTGTGCAATGAAAGTATTTTAACTACAAAAATTCACAAATATCAAATTTCAGAAATAGTATACACAAGTCATAGTTTACACTAGAAATGCAAAATTCTACAAATAGTTACTCTGCTATAGTAGCAACAAGTAAAAAAAAATGTGTATGACATCTAACTAGTCTGACTCTCTAAAACATAATAGAGGCAAGAAATCCTTCATTCATGGAGCAACATGAAAAAAGCCTCTCGCTTTTTCGATCCTCTAGAAGTTTTACGATAAATAAGTAGAGGGGCATTTCCTCAAAATTTTTGGAATTAAGTATAGTAGCTTGATTACATGTGTGATTGTTGGGTATGCATAGAGAGCATTGCATACACTTGATATAATGTTGGTGCAATTTTTCATCAGCTGTGATATCTATTGGGATAAATGAGCTGCCCCAAATTTACTTTTATATTTCCCTTTTTCTGTTGATGGTGTAGGTCATTTGGAGTGAATAAACTCCCCCTACTCTCTTTCTTCCAGTTGTTCCTTGTAGATCTCATTGGAATGAGCATTTTCAGGATCATCCAAATTAGGGTTAGGCTCTTTTATTGTACAACACCAAGGAACATAGTATTTCTTTACATTCGATAAAACCTACAATTGATAAACGTTTTTTCTAAGATGTTGAATTTTAAATTAAGCAATATTGAATGTAAGTTGATTTACTTGTTGAAATCTTCTCTTACCACCACTTCTCACATACATCAACTATTTTTCTAATAGTGTCCCATCCTAAACTAGTGGCCCATCTTTTTAGCTCATTCCACAACTTCCAGTTAATCTCATTTATTTTTCAGTTGAGTTTTTTTATACAGTCTGACAGTTCTTTCTTAAAAGAGTTTGGTTATATTTTGCTAACCTTCTTTATTGAAATGTGTCTTTGGTCTATTGCCCATTTCCACCTCTTTCAGGCATAAATCACATAAAATTATCTTCATCTCTCAATCCCAAATAACATATATCCCACCTTCTTTTGGTTTACCCTACTAATATCTAAGTAAAAAAAAATTATCAAAATAATTTGGCATGTAAAACAACAGTACATGAACCTTAAACATGAATATGACAAATAAAAAGTAAAAGTATAGCTCATAATCAATTCATAGATATAAATAATAACTCTATCAATGATCACCAGTTGTGTTATCCAAGCATAAGAAATATGTGGTACCCGTGTAAAATTAACATGACCGTTATTTTTTTCCATATTCATAATTTGTAATCTGTTGAACATTTTGTTCTGTTTTTCCATCAAATCTTTACTAAACATTTTACAAGAAATGTGAAATGTGCCCTCTGAATGGCATTCCAAAAGCATCACCGTAAACGGAAACCAAGCAACCAACGGGTCCATAAAACATCCAAAGTAATAAGATCATATAAATCTTAAGAAAATTTTCTGATAAGTTAACAACATCCACTCCACCTTAACATCTCTCTCTTTAGATAGATATATGAGCACTGGTTTTTAGTTTGTCTAATAAATTTTTCTAGTCGAATTTCTTGTGTTTGCCTCCTCATAAGTGTAGGGTAACACTTTGAGGGGAGAATGTGGAGTACTGCTTACTTCTTTTACTTTTCTTCTGCTAAGACGCTTATAAATAGAATTGCATATGCTTTGCTACACATTTTAAGTTTACATAATAGATAAGTTAGCAACATCCTTACCTGTACTGAGCAATCAGTAGAAGTAATGGAATGAAATATATATGAGCATTACTTATCTATTTCTTTAAGATTTTTTTATGTACGTGTTCTGCATATCCATGCATTAATGGGACCCGTAGATTACATGCCAGATAAGATACCCATAACCAACTTATTGTCTCTAACACACTAGCCAAATTGGGTCCTTAAGGCAATAATTAGAGCTCAGTGAGATCTCTTAAGCAAAGGAGACTCCATCCATAATCACTATTTTCCCAAATCAAATAAGCACTTGAATCTGTTCTCTTGCGACAAATAATATTTGTGGGAAAACAACCTCACCAATTTAAATTTGATAAGTGATGATCGATTTATGCTTTTGAAATTTATTTTCCATCACTGCTCATATATATTTCATCAAAATGCTTCTACTGTTTGATCAAAACAGGTAAGGATGCTGCTAACTTATCTATCATGTAAATTTCAAATGTGCAACACAACATATGTAATTTCTATTTATAAGAGTCTCAACAGAAGGAAAAAAAAAGTACTCGACATTCTCACTCAAAATGTTACCAATACTTAGGATTTTTAAAATAGTGAATCTTTAAAAAACAGAAGAACAAAGCTCATATATATTTCATTTCGTAGTTTCTATTAGTTGATCTTCTAGCTTATTTATCATGCAAACTTACAACTTTGTATGAAAACTTATGCAATTTCATCTGTAAAATTATTGCATATACTAAAAAAATGATTTCTTGAAGAAACAAATGAACAAAGCTCAAATATATTTAATTCCATATCTTCTAGAGGTTCATTAGGCTAGTTATAGATGTTGCTAAATTTTCAATTATGCAAGCTTCAAATTTGCAACAACGCATATGCAACCCATTTATAAAACTATTTCATATAGTAAAAAAGAAAAGCAGTGCTCAACATTCTCCCCTTAAAATGTTAATCAACTCTGTATAAGAGGCAAGTGTAAGCAAAACGATCAACAAACATGAGTGCAAACATATATAGAATAAGCCCACAAAGAATTCTTAAGAAAACAAATATACAATGCTCAAATATTTTCCATTCCATAGCTTCTATTATTTGATCAGGCTTAGTATAGATGTTGTTAAATAATATATCCTGCAAACTTCAACTTTGCATCAAAACATATGCAATACGTGAAGAAAAAACAAATATGTGCTTAGAAATCTCCGCACAAAATGTTTATCTACACAGGCATGGAAAAAAGCAAGTTATTCGACCATCAAACAACAATGGATACACATGTAGATCAAGAATACAAAAAATTTCATAGAAAAAACAAGAAACACAGAGGTAGGTAGTGAATGAACCGCAAAAAGAAAAAATGCATAAATGAGAAAACATCACCGGAAGGATTTAGCAAATCGATGGAGCCAAATGGAGGAACAATGATGAGGGTATATGCAAAAAGGAGTAGAATTACCGGAATTTCGAAGGGGCAGTGACGTCGAAGGCATCTCGCAACAGAACTCCAGCCGCGGAACGCCCTCTCCCCCTTTCGTTTCAGCCTGATGCGACCCCCGACTAACGAAGTGCGCAAAATAAAAGAGTTTCCAAATGCAACTTCTCTGGTTCCGCAACGTAAATGCCGCAAAAACAAAGGTCCCAAACAGGCCCTAAATCAAATTAAACTATCAAAAATCAGAAAAGGTCATAGTCCAATGTCTCCTTTCTTTTTACACTGCTTAAAATCCAAAGGCTCACCCCCTATCTATTTCTCAAGCAGTCGCAGGTCACTTTGAATATGGTTGAAAGCATTAAACTTTAGGCTTCCAACAAAATAGTCCAAATTTGATTTGGATTGTGGTGGCAAAGGGAATTATGTTGAGAGCAGAAATTTCTACATCGCACCTCAACAACAAGGTCATTTAACAATATGTAGATGTATAAATATTAAAGTTCAAGTAAGAGATATACAATACTAAAAATTTTGTTTGAGTTCTAGCTATGTAAATCCCCCAGGAATTTCCCCTAACTTTCTGTGGTAGTCTATTTCAAAATTTTGCCACTCCCAAACTATATATATATATATATATATATTAAATGGGCATTGGGGACATATACATATATATATATATATCTTATTGGATAAATTTTTATATTCCGTTAAAATCTTAAAGAGGTCTCTCAAATAAAATAAAAATAAAAAGTCTTTGAAAATTCCAAGCCCAGTTGACTGCTCCGGCGACTGACCACAGCCTAAGGAAAATGAAGCCTCCTTACGGTGCCCTCCTCCCCGTAGAACTTCTCTTCTTCCCTTCTCCTCCTCTTATTCTCCCCAAACCCTAACATTAATCACATCCTCCAATCTCTCCCTCTCTTCCCTCAATCATGGAACCTATTCTCCAAGCCCTGATCGCCGCCGCCGGTAGCTTCTCCGCCATCTCCCTTCTATTCCTTGTCGTCCTCTTCTTCTGTCGCAGCCGTCCACCTAAGCCTCCTCCCCCTTTCCTCTCCATCTCCTTTCCCACCCCTTCCTCCGCCCTTCCGCTCCCTACCCGCGAGCACAGCTTTTCCTTTGATCCCTCCCTCCCCTACATCTCCCTCTCCGATCTGGAAACCGCCACCAAAAACTTTTCCCCTGATCGCATCCTCGGCGACGGTGGATTTGGCTTTGTCTACAAGGCCATCTTCCCCTCCGGCGCCCCCGTCGCCGTCAAACGTCTTTCCCCTGACCTCGCTCCCTTCCAAGGCTTTCGAGAATTTCGCGCCGAGATGGACACCCTCGCCCGCATCCACCACCCCAATCTCGCCCGCCTTCTCGGATACTGCATCGCCGGCTCCAACCGCCTCCTCATCTACGAATTCCTCCCCGGAGGCAGCCTCGACCAACGTCTCCATGACCCTGACCCCGACTATTTTCCGCCGCTCACCTGGTCCGTCCGCCTCAGCATCCTCCGTGGCGTCGCCGCTGGCCTTGCCTTCCTCCACGAGGGATGCCGTCCCAGCATCATCCACCGCGACATCAAGGCCAGCAATGTCCTGCTTGACGGCGAGTCTGTTGCCCGGATCGCGGATTTTGGATTGGCGCGTTTGGTGGAATCGTCTAGATCGCACGTATCGACACAGGAGGCGGCGGGGACGGTGGGATACATGGCACCGGAGTATAGGGAGGGGGTTACGGCGGTGACGGCAAAGGGCGATATCTACAGCTTTGGGGTATTGGTGATGGAGGTGGTGACGGGAAGGAGGCCGAGCTGGCCAGTGAAGACGGATGATGGTGGAGAGATAGGGCTGGTTAAGTGGACCAGGGCGAAGTTTGAAGAGGGGAGGGAGATGGAGATTTTGGATCCTTTGATGGGGAAGGAAGCGGTGGCGGAGACGGAGGTGAAGGGGCTGTTGGGAGTGGCTTACAGGTCTACCGAGGAGAGGCCGAGTAGTAGACCGTCCATTGGAGAGGTGATTAAGCTTTTAGATAGCTTTTGACGGAGGCCATTACCGACTTCACCTGTTTCTTTATTTGTGCTACAGATTGGGTTGGAATGAATTTCCGAGATGATGGGTTGTGATTTGTCCCACAACTAGCTTAGCTTTTATTCCTCCGTTTATTAGTCATTAAGGGTACATTTTTTTCATAGTTATACGTTAAAGTTGATATATTTGTGCCTTATTGGAAGGATTTGTTTTCCTGCCCAACTTAGTATAGGGTTGTATAAATTTGGCTGGAAATTAAATGTGGAGAAATATCTATATCTCATTTTTCATATAAATTATTTTTACAATCATAATATTTTTTAGTAAAACTTTTTTTCATAAAATAAAAATGTGAAATTTATTATATTCTTCCTTAGTTATGTTTTTCTCTTTTCCTATAATTATTTTTCATGCTTTCGTAGATTCAAATGTGTTCGTGGATAATTAGGATTTAGGGTTTAATTATTTAAATGTTGTGTAAACTTAGAACCGAGAAAAGGATAAAAAACAGAGAAGTTCTAGCAAAATAAAATCTATTGATTTTATTTATCACAACTCAATAATCATAATTTTGTAGATGTTCTTGTGTTCCATTTGATCTCTTATAGAAGACAATAAATAAACATATGATCGAGTTATTATAGCTATGTGGATATGGTAATCAAGACCAGGAATAGTACATGTAGATAACGGCTTGGGTGAGTGTTTCAAAGACTATCAGTTTCAAATAGGTGAGGTTGCTTAGGGCACATGCAAGGTTGTTGATCTAAACTAGCAAGGACTCAAAATGTCTTCTATAATGTTGGTTAAGTGACTTTTTGGTTCCAGCAAATGACTTATTGGCTATGACTAATATGTTTGAGCTGGGGGAGCATCTCAATTATGTCAGTTTACCTTGATCAAGGTTTTGGGATGAGACATTTTTAAGATAGCTTTAATCTTATCTAGCTCGATCTCGATTCCCCGATGACAAACAATGAATCCTAGAAATTTTCTTGAGGTAGCGCCCGAAGACAGATTTTAAGGGATTCATCTTAAGATTATATTATCATAATCGTTCAAACACGATCATCAAATCATACGAGTGGTCTATTCTTTTAATGACCAAGTCGTCCACGTAGCACTCCACTTGGTTGTGAATGAGGTCATCAAAGATCATCGTCATAGCTCGTTGATATGTTGCTCTGGTGTTCTTCAATCCAAACGACATTATTGTGTAGCAGAAGATCCCGATCGATGTTTTGAAAATTGTAAGCGCTGCATCTTTTGAAGCCATCTTAATCTGATTATAACCTGGCGATCCATCCATGAAGGAGAAGATCTCGTGCGTCGATGCAATGTCCACCATTATTTCTAGTATCAGTAATGTGAACCCATCTTTCAGACATGCTTTATTTAAATTCCTGAAGTCGACACATACACGAATGTGTTCATTCTTCTTCTTAACTGGCACAATGTTGGCTAACCACGTCAGGTATTATTCTTCCCGCACAAAGCTGGCGTATGTTAACTTCCTTACCTCAGCAATGACTTGTTGCTCTATTTCGAGGCACGTTCTTCTAGTAGCTTGTTTCACTGGGGTCATATCCTTGTCCACCTCGAGCTTGTGAACCGCAACTTCTGAGGATAATCCTGGCATCTCGTCATAGCTCCAAGCGAAGCAATATTTAAATTCTGACAATAATTTGGTCAACTCTGTAGATTCTTCTTTGTTGAATAAAGAACTTATAAAGGTAGGTCGGGGCTGCTCTTCAGTCCCGAGATTGACTTCGTTCAATTCATCGCCGATTGACTTAATTTCTTCTTCAAACTATGACATAGCATCATTTATCAGAGAATCTTCAAATTCATTATTCACATCAAGGCAATCATCTTCGAACTCGCTAGTAACAACCATGCAAAATTTTGAATCATCAATTGGTCCTATTGTACCAAATCCAAGACCTTCTTTCTAGTTAGGAGTCTGACTCTTAACGTTCCACAAATTCTCAAAGAGCTATAGTTTATCCTTCGACATTTCTTTTGGCACACATCCCTGTTGAATTAGCTTTTGTACACAAGGAGAAAAGTAACCAAACGATAATTCCATTAATTCATTATAATTCTCTTCCAAATTTACATGATTTTTGGAATTAGTAGGAGGAGAAGCATGGTAAAACCTAATTGGCTTAAAACCAACACCCCGGACTTCCTTGACCTCTAAAATCGCAACCTTTTTGAGGGTGGATCAGAGTAAGGGTCATGACATGCACGTAGTGGTTGATCCAATCATACATTGACTTGTATTCACTTTTCTCCACGTCTTCCAAGGAAATTTCGAACTGCGGCTTCTTCTGTGTTTTCATCATCATTTCTTCCTCTAACTTATCTTCATCAAAGCTTTCATCCACGTAGATACAGATCGTCAGTTTTGTCCGTTCAACAATTATGGCGACTTATCCTTGTCCACGTCCCTGGCCTCGATCTCAGATGCGTGGGCTAAAAGAACCTCTACGAACTTGTTGTGAATAAGTGGTAGTACATTGTTGAAGTGGAGTTGAATGATCCCTTCGTTGTAGTTGTCAGCATCTTCAGTCTCATCTAGCACATCTTCATGGGAAAAGACGATCTTCTTTTGAGGAGCGTAGTAGGCGGTGTCTTCATGGATGTCTTCTTCATGAACTGAAAATGGTTGTAAATCCCCTTTGATGCAATGTTCTTGTCTTTCTTTGAAATACTTGATACACTGTTGTAGTGACGACGAAACCATATTATGCTCGTGCAACCACGATCGACCAAGCAAAGCATTGAAAGAGGTCTGTGCGTCGATGATATGAAACTTTACGATTGTTACTAGCTCCTCAACTTTCGTGAGGACTGTAATCGATTCAAGTGCTCTTTCTCCCTTATGATTAAATCCTATTAAGATCATCTTATCAGCTGTAAGCTCCTGAGCTTCAATATCCAAGTATGCTAACGTCTGTAGACTTATTAAGTTGAGTGATACTCCCATACAAATCTGTCGATGTTGACGGAGATGTAGAGCGGTTGGTTGTGATCAGAAGCTCCAAGCAACAAGTCTTCATCGGTGAAGGTTACCCCAGGCTGTTCCTCTGATGAACAAACTTCATCCAAGGATGTGATGACCAATTGAGCTAAGCAAATTGATGGATCATGTAAGGCTGTGACCAGAGATTCCCTCATCTCCTTTGGCAGGATCAGAGGATAGTAGATGCTTAGTTTGACTAGAAATCTCTTAAGTTGATCTAGTACATTATAATCCACTTTATACAAACCTCTAATCTTTACTTGATTATGTATCTCTTCTACTGGCGGAGGAGAAGGTGACTCTTCTCAAGTGACTATTTGTTTCTCTTTATCCATTGGAGTTGTTCTTGGGGGTAATACCTTTTTGCTCCTCAGATTTATTTCTGTGATCTCTTCTTCTTCTTGAGATATTGTGGGCAAATTTTCTAGTGCTTATTCTGTATCTGATAAATCTAAGTTGATGGTGAGCGATGCTCCTTGACACTCGAGGACTGGCTCCTCACTCCCAGAACTGTAGTAACCGGTGTCGTCGATATCTTGTTCATTTTCATTAATGTGTTCATCAGACTTAAGTATGATTTGAGGATCATTTTGAGAATCTAGATCAAAGTTAGATTGGTCATGGTCACTTACATCATCACTAGAGACAGTTAAAACGTGGCTAAAATCGTAATCATTATATTCAAAAAACCCCGGAGGGGTAAAAAGATAGTCATACATGGTCAGGGGTTTGAGGAATTTCTCTCCCGAATCCGAGACAACCAATCTAATAGAGAAAGCTCCTATCCTATTGATGCGGGTGGATTTAGTGTTAGTTTTGCAAATATTTTTTAATATTACAAAATATCCACGACATATACAATAGAAAATATGCAAATTAATCCCAACAAAAATATCTTCAGTGAAAATAGTTTTATCTTTTAAAAATCATTAAACTGTCAAATCCCCTTTAAAAATAATGAATGTATACATATCGCTCAAGTAATAAAGGACTCTAATGGAGTCCTAGATATCAATCCCACAGGGAAGTTGGAAATGCTTATAAGTAAATTATTAAGATTATGCTCAAATAAATCCCATAACTGTAGTAATCATCTCTTCAATTAAAGAATATGCTTTATCGACTGATTTTGACATTAATGATCCACTAGCAACATCATCAATTATCGATCTAAGAGATCCAACCAATCCATTATAAAAAGTTTGAATTATTAACTAATCTAGCAACGCATGGTGTGGACACTTTCTAAGGAGATCTTTAAATCTTTCACAGGCTTCATAAATTGATTCCCTTTCAAACTGACAAAAAGATGTAAAATTTCTAAGCTTAGTAGTTTTTGAAGATGGGAAATATTTAGATAAAAGTTTTTTTGATAAATCTTCTCAAATTCTAATAGATTCAGGTGCTAATGAGTTTTAACCACATCTTAGTTTTATCCCTTAATGAAAAAGGAAAAAAATCCAAGTCTAACGACATCATTCAACACTCCATCATATTTAAAAATAGCACACAATTCTAGAAAACTGGCAAGGTGTAAACTAGGATCTTCAGTTGATGTTCCCCAAACTGATTGTTTTTTACCATTTGGATAATAACATGTTTAAGCTCAAATGAATTGACAACTATAGCAGGGTTTTGTATACTTAAATGAATTTTATCTATTGTAGGATTAACATAATCTCTTGAAGGACTCTGATGATGTTCACCTTCATTTCCAATATTACTTAAATTGCAAGTCATTTTGCTAATATGGTCTATCTCTTTTTGTTATTTTCAAATTTTTCTAATAATTCTTTCTAACTCAGAATCATAAGGTACTATATACTCAGATCGTACACTACGCATAAACAATCACAACAAGTAATTTAAAATAAACAAACACACAAATAAGCAAACATACTAAAATATAAAAATATTCAAACTAAACTATAAACACTTTTTTTTTAGTTTAAAAATAAAAATACTATAATTTATAAAATAACTTACTAATACTTTCTTTTACTTCCCCGACAATTGTGCCAAAAACTTTGATGCGGGTGGATTTAGTTTGTTAATTTTATAAATATTTTTAATATTACAAAATGCACACAATAGATACAATAACAAATATGCAAATTAATCCCAATAAAAATAAATTTAGTAAAAATAGTTTTATCTCTTAAAAATCTTTAAACTGCCAAATCCTCTTTAAGAATAACACAAGTATATGTATCGC